CGAAGCCACAAAATGTCCGGCTACTTGACGTCATAACGAGATCGACTTGTTAGCTCTGATTGGCATCACTCATAAACATGTGAGGAAATGGCACGTTAATGGCATCGGCACTGTACTACCGACCAAATGCCCAACTTGTTGAGCGGACGATACGCTATCTCTCGGTAGCAGATTACAATGATCATTAAAATAACAGAAAACGTACCTGTGGAAGTGAGCAACGAGCGAAGTAACGTACTATAGATTCCGGGAGTAATTGACGAGAAAGAAGAATGACCGAAGTTCCAATCTCCGAGGAAAGAAAGCTCCACATGGTTAAGTACGCCAACGACGCTACACCCCGAAGTCTTTTCAGCTTTCAGATATTTTCACGCGTGGTGATGTGAACATCTTAAAAAAGGCACGCAATCAATATTACTCTTATTTTTGTGCGTCATTTTAGAGCTGTCTTCTTATCACGTCGTCATAGAGGGCTTTGGTAGTGATTGATATATGCGCTTTCGGAGCCACGCACGGCAGAGTTATGAGGTGCCCGTGTATTTAGCTATGTCCTGCATGACGAGGAATTCTAAATGAAGGAGGTTATGGAACGATCGAGATGAGACACTCCTATTACGGGTTGAATAATCGTTCGTAATAACGCCTTCGGTTGTTGCGTTGGTTTGTAGATATACTACATTTCTTTGCAAGCGCGCAGACGTTTCTGATAAGCTTTGTGGTAGCATGCTGAACTCGTTATTGGAAAACTCGGTTCGGATTCCAGCAATACCGAAGAGAAAAATTTAGCTAGCGACGCGCACATGGCTAAAAGACAAACAGCATACATATGGGGCCCTTTGCCGGACTCAGTATAACCCCTGGCGGACTGACCGATACTTCGCGCATACATCGCACCAGACGAGCACGGCTGTTCGAAGAATTATTCCACCCTCAAATCAAAAAGCTTAGCCTGGTAAATGATGTTAATAATATGAAACATAATGTACCATGTCGTAGAACGGTTCTAACATTAGCCCCAGCCTGCGGTAAATGGTTTTTGCCCAGCTGCGATCCAGTGTTATGTCACTTGGTGAAAGCTTTCAGCTCGCTGGCGTTTACATTTTACCAAGCCATCTTCTGAACATTTTTCAAAAAAGAGGGATACGAGACCTAAGAAAAATTTAGTTCAGTTCAATCAACGTTCCTCACAAACCTGCGGGCGGCTAATTTTCCATTGGTGGAATTACTTTTTGCAGCATGCATATAATCTCTGATTTCGTCATCTTCCTTACTACCGAGGACATAATCCAGATCATTTGGAAAATGGCCTTTTGCTTCCCATGCGACCAAGTGACAGACGACAAAAGTTGCATCACTGGTTGAATGGAGTTATGTTCAGGAGCACGGTCATTGTTGGATCCTTCACGGTCAAGCAATACATGTCTCACAATCAAGAATGTCTATAGGTACTTCCACAGAAATGAAATGTTTTCTACATCCACTGAGAGCTCAACCTCGCACAGAAGACGTGAAAATATGTACAGACGGCAATAAGTGAAGACAATTTTCAGGCTAATGACATTTTGGTCTGTGTTCATCGTGGGCCCACTGGGCGAGCTTTTAAAACGTCAAAGTGCACAACCGAAAGCAAATCACAAAAAATCGCCGTTTTCCACCGTCCAGAAGACACGAATAATTTCAACTTGGCACACTCAACAGCCCTACCTCTGCTCGAAGAGCATTCCGCGCGCAGTACGGATTATCTTCGAAGCAATTACCGATGCTCAATGCCTTCATAACGCTGGTTGGATTTATCGAGCCCGCAGGTCGCAACCATTTGCTTTAGGAATGGTTGGTCATCTATTCCTTCCTGATCACCTGGTCGACAGGGTGCAATTGTATCCCGGCATTCCGCAAGCGAGTGGAGTATGTATCCCCCGTCATCAAAACCGGGTCGCTTGACATCTCGTTTGCAACGGCGCGGAGTGCAAAAGAAACTGGGGTGGTACCCCGAAAAGCTACACACGGTGGTGCCTATCGCTCCCAGCCACTCATAGGACCGCGCCACTTCCTCCCAGTGGCTTCGCGGTCTCCCGGATGGATTCAAAGAGAATGCAATTTTGACTGATGATAAATGGTTCTGTCCGCAACAGGCACCATAATAGCACAATAAACCATATTGGGGACCCAGCCACCTCAATATAACCAACGAGCGCCGAATCCAAGGAAGGGAAAATTTTTGCATTGGGCGGCTCTCGTGGAAGACTGAGTTATGCGATGCCGTCCTGGTTTTGTGCAGACGAGACGGTTATTGGTCAGGCCTATTGCCTCCCTCTTCAGACGGAGCTGCTAGTACGTGCCTGCGTGCAAAGCGTCATTCTGACAGACAGGGTTGGGACGGTCTGTTTCAAAATATATTTCACGGCGGCAAGATCTTCAGAAAACTTAAAGACCACCAGATGTCTCCAGACCGATAATCTCTAAAATCCTCAGGAGTCTCTAAGCCAAAAAGGCATTACGAGACATCTAACCCTTCTTGAAAAAGGTCATTCAGACCATAACATATGTTCCACCGGAACCTAGAAAAATGCGTTCCATCCGTAATGTCATTCGGTAGTTCCTTTCAAAACTCTTGACTGATAATCACTGCCACGATCTTGAAAAGTTCACGAACCACACCCATCATTGATCGCCTATGCTGACAGTGTGTTCACTGCCTGTCCTAGCCTGTTTACAATTCCTACTTGGCGTCCATGCCGATCAGTGCCATCACAGTGGGCCCCTCATCTTCCTAATGCTGGCCAGTGCCGATGTTAACTATTACGCATAGGCGGCTGTTGCCTGTTGGGCCTATAAAATACTTATAGAATCACAGTTATTGCTTAAATCTCGCCGAAAAATTGACAGCGTTGTATAGGACCTCTCTCTCTCTCTCTCTCTCTCTCTCTCTCTATTGTTCTCTCTCTCTCTCTCTCTCTCTCTCCTATCTCTCCTCTCTACTCTCTCTCGCCCTCTCCTCTCTCTCCTCTTCGCTCTCTCTCTCTCTCTCTCTCTCTCTCCTTCTCTCCTATCTCCCTTCCTCTCTCTCTCTCTCTCTGTCTCTCTCCCTCTCATGCTAGGCAAGGTAACCGTACGCGAGCAAATTTTTAACACCCATAGTAGTTATTTTTAGGAACATGGACAATTACTATTAGGAACAATTTGGGTTTCAATCCCATCAAGACCAGCTATCGGAAAGTTTCAAGCTCTAAAGCCGACAAAGCACTTGAGCGCTGATGAGCTTACCGCACTCGTCCATCAACATTCGCGTTCCGCAATCATCCACGTCATACCCCGTGGGTGTGTGCGTGCGTACGTGCGTGCGTGTGTGCGTGTGTGCGTGTATGTGTGTGCGTGTGTGTGCGTGTGTGTGCATGTGTGTGTGTGTGTGTGTGTGTGTGTGTGTGTGTGTGTGTGTGTGTGTGTGTGTTGTGTGTGTGTGTGTGTGTGTGTGTGTGTGTGTGTGTGTGTGTGTGTGTGTGTGTGTGTGTGTGTGTGTATGTGTGTGTGTGTGTGTGTTGTCTATTTCTGTCACGGATGTTCAGAGTTGTCCAGATCTTAATAAAGCTCTTAAGACTGCCTACACCACAAGCGCCACCCTTCTGATTGGCTCTGCTGTGCCAAAGGCTGACATCGTTCCATTTGTGTCATTGGGGCTTTGCGGCGCACTCAGCTGCTGAGGCTATATGGCGTCGCCTGCCCCTCACTCTGGCGGAAGGGGCGAGCACCGCGGGGAATCGAACCCCGTACCTCTGGTTTCCCAGACGCGCAGTGGTCAACCCAGACGCGTGAACCACGGCACTACCGGCACCCCGAACATCGTTTCAGACTCCGTGTCCAGTTAGTGAATTAGTCGTCATCAACAAAAGCCGAATACTGGTAAAATGTTGGTGATAATTTCTGCATCCGCTGTCGTGTAATGACATATGCATCTTATTAGGCGCATGAGACAGACATGTGGTTGCAAACGGTCGCATCGAAAGGAAGAGTGCGGGTCGCGCAGGCTGTCCAAATGTTAAAGACGCTAAAGCCGTAAAGACGATTCAGAATAACATCCAAGCAGACCGAACAAATTCGATCGATCAAGCTCTGGCAGAATGGAATGGAAAATAAACATTACCAGTGTTTTCATAGAAATCATGAAGCCATCCACACAGCGCATACCGACATAGCATATTTATGGGCAAACCCCATAAGACATTCATAACGGGCGACAGAAAGACCGCTGCGCTGTCGCGCCGGGGACGCGAGTGCCGGTGGCATGTGCTGGTCACATGCATAATCAAACTGCTGAGGACGATTCAGCATGGCAGGTCGTTAAGCTGGACAAATGAGACAAACAGGACCCGACGAGACCAGAGTGAAAAGAAGCATTAGCGGCCGCTTTGTGACGTTCTTCAACGGTGTCGCCACACCGACCCATTCATGCATCCAGACCGTGAAATAAACATGGGAAAACAATCTATCGGACATTAGCATGCAGTTTTCTTCGAATTTCCAGCATTCCGTTCCGAAATTTGAGTGAGTTTGGTCGACTGTTTTGATGCTTGTTAATGTCTGCAGTATCATTATTATTACGCTTAAGTGGCTAAAGGTCTGTGACGAGGGCTCAAATGCACGACGACCTCCTACCCCACCCGCACTTGAAAGATTTGGGGTCACGGCCGCTCAGGGTCCACGACTCCCAGGCACCGCCAACCGTCTGCAAGCTCTCCCCCCCCCCCCCCCCCCCCCCCGTCGCCGCCGTAAAGGTGACTGTGACGAATGCACCAGTTCCCCGTGCAGTCGCTGGTTTTGCCGACACACAAAAATGCATTAAGCACAGTTCGCATGGATGTCCTTGGACTCAAAGCGCAATGCTAGACGCAGCTCTATGACAACATCGGAAACCGATGGCCCCAACGCATTTTTCCAATGACCGCAATACGACTCTCCAATAAGCAGCGGTGGAGGTGGAAGCGGGCAAGCGACGAGCGACTCACCATTGACTCTTCGTTGATGGAGTCCAGTGTGATGACGGTCACGTGAAAGTAGACGGTGGTGGGCTCACCGCGGTACTTGGGCGGCCGGTTCTTGTCGTACATCTTCGTGTTCCCGGGCAGTATGTCTGAGATGTCCAGACTGTTGTGAGACTTCGCCCTGCAAACGGCCGGGCAGTCAGACGCCATTCCCTGCCGGCCATCACTGGTCCAGGTCCGAGGCGAGTCCGCTAGCCATGGCAGACGCTGGCGATCCACGCCAAACGGGCGCCTGTCATGCGGATCAGACGAAAACGGATGCGGAACGGCAGCGGGATAAGGAAAGTCTTTGCTCATATCTCAACGTGCTCCGAGTCGTGCGTTAAGTTACATCAAGGCATTGGCATAGGCGTCATGAGCAAGCTCGTAAGCACCTCACGCATATTCTTAACCACACTCCGTTGTATGGACCGTTCATTGAATTTCTTAAGTCTTTTCTGCAGCGAAATGGCTGCGTTCAATGGCAGCATATTCTTCCTAACACCGTATTGAGCGGAGATGCTGGTGAGCCGACTAGTCAGCAGGGACGGCCGCCCGATTAGAGGCGGCGCAGGCGAACGGGCTCGATGCGGCGCCCCCCCCCCCCCCCCCACGGCTCTAACGAGGCGCTGGTTCAGGTCTCGACGGCCGATTGCATTAGATCCGGCTTCAAATTCCGCTGCCGAATGCACCGTGATCAGCAGACTGGCCTAATCCAGTTTGCTGCTATTGTTGCAGAATTACAAAGGGTAGAATCGGTGGGGCGGTAAACCGGAGCTGGTCGTTCAGCGAAGCGCGCGGGCCAACAGAAGGAACAAGAACTCGACCCAGAGATATAACGACACACGGATTGAGCAAATCTGTGCCTACAACTATGCAACCGAAATAGCAACAAGAAATCCTGTTGTCTTTTGTTTTTAGACCATTTGGATGCCAAGACAGTAAATGTACATCATTACTCTGTCTGTACGAATGCAACTGCCCGGCTGCAGCCTTCTGTTACAAGGCTCATAACGAAGCAAGCTTGATTAAGCGACCAAGCGTCCTGAAACTTCAGGTTTGCCATCCTTGGCTATGCGGCGGTGTTTCGGGGAAAGGCATGCAGCGCGGAAACTCCAGCTTTTCACGGAACAAAGTGTTAAGTAGAACACCGATAACTCAAGAAGGTTACCGAGGTGACGAACGTCTACTATGATAAAAGCGTACCTTAATCCCAGCTGAGCTTTACAGCACAACTTTACATCGTAGCGAGCCAAAGCCCGCGTCCATAACATGGCTAATGGACTATGAATGCAGAATATTTCGCCGCACCCGCCTGCCCACTAAGGCCTGATGGTGTGCTTCGGAAGAAGCCAAGTTCAGCGCGGAATGGCAACAGTTCGTACGTAGTTTGCTCCGGTAGCTTCTTTACATGAAGTGTGGGCTGTACCCCAGCCGAGCTGCAAACAACATGGCCTTGCAATGAATGCTTAATTTGTAATTGACGTTGCCATACGAGAAATATTATAAGCCGATTAAGCCTCTAAGAACCCAGTCAGGCCGTAAGGGGAGGGGTATGGAGGGCAAGTCTTCCAGTTTTGCCAAATTTGATATTATGCCTATGAATGTTGCTTGTAATGCAGCACACTAATCGCCTTAAGGCTCCCTTTACCCACCTTGTGTCGATCATGGGACAACCCTTGAAAAGTTCTTGCGGCAAACACCACATTTCAAGGGTACATTCTTGTGTACAGACTACCATATGCTGCTTTTAAATGCCGAAAGCATTTAGCTGTGTGGGCTAGAAAAGAAAGAAATACTAAGCGCATATTTCCGTCGGACTACGCTCAGTTTCCCGAAGACGACAAATTTGCACTGTCCGCCCGATATTCCCAGAGAACAGACATAAGTATGGTTTATTCCATTAAACTACCTGTTCTGAGATGTCGAAATAACGTCATCACGCGGGCAGCAAGCAATTCCCGGGATTGCCTCCGAACTGTGTTAACACAGCGGCATCTTAATTTAAGGACTTGAGGAACATCATTCAGGACGTTTAATTCCAAAGAAGCAATGGTACAAACCATGATTATAGTCATAACGTATTTACCAAACGCTGGCCAAATGTTTGCTGCGTCTGTAACAGAACTGGAAGCGTACTCATTCTTGCGTGGCAGCGAGCTGACTCAGCCTCAATGTGAACTGGATCAAATAGGGCTGATGGAGACGGACCCCGCCACCGACGCTACTTTTTTGAAATCCACCCAAAAATTGCTAGCATCAGCCTTCTACTATACTTCCCAACCCATTAATTATGAAAGCACTGCTCCAGATGGCGCATCTGATGTTTTGAACAATCGTTGCCCAAGTTCCATGCCGCATGCCTACGCCCATCCCTGCACGTGAACAGGCGGGGCCTGAGACTGCGGGCGGTCCGCCGTACTGACTGGGGCCGTGTCGGCGTCACCGGCGGCCGGTCGGCCTGCAGCACGATCTCGAGCACGGTGTGCCAGCGGCCGCGGCACCAGAGCTCGGTCAGCCGCGCCAGCTGTTCGGCCATCGGCCGGCCGGCCATCTCGCGCTTGTCGACGCCGTCGCCGCACGACTCGGCGCACGACTCGGCCTTCCGCCGAGTACGCGTCCAGCAGCAGCGAGTTGCGCGTCAGGCGGCGCGTGGCGCTGAGCACCGGACTGAGGTCGTCCGTCCAGCGGCATGGCCCCACGCGGTGCTGGCAGAACTCGTAGGCCAGCGCCGTCAGCTCGGACGGCACCGGCTCCGGCAGGTAGACCAGGCTGTAGCCGCCGAAAAGTTCGGCCATGGCGCGCAGCGTGCGCTGCAGCTGGCGGCCGGCGGCGGCGCCACCGTCGCTGCTCACGTACACCAGCAGTTGATACTGGGCGCCGTGGTCGCGGAAACGGTACAGCAGCGCCGGAATGTCAGCCAGCTGGCGGGCCTTGAAGCGCAGCCGGCGGCCGCAGCGCCGGAGCGCCGCGAGCGTGCTGCTCTCCCCGCGGCCCACCATCACCACGTTCGTGTCCTGCACGTGCGGCACGCCGAAGTCGCGGCAGCGCCAGACCAGCTGTTCACGGTCGCAGGTGGCCGGCGCGGCTTGCCGGCCGGGGCGCGGCGCGTGGCGCTGCCGCCGGCCGGTCGCCGGCGGCGGCTGCTGCCCCACGCCGCCGCCCAGCCGCAGCCAGGGAAACGCCCAGCCGGAGTCGCCGTCGCTTGACGGGCGGCGGCGGCGTCGGCCGCGGCGGCGGGCGGGCGCCGCCGAACGCCAGCCGGGCCACCACCGACGGCACGCAGGGCTCGCCTTCGGCCAGGGCCCGGCTCCAGACCGTCGTCCCCGTACTGCCCGTTCGGAGCTGGCGGCCCACCGCCGCCGCCGGGCGGACCGGGATGGTGGGGCGCGTCGGACCCGGCCGGCAGGAGCCGCTCCTCCCCCAGCCTGGCCCAGTGCGGCGGCAGGGGCTCTGTCGGCAGCGTCGTGCTCCGTGACGTCTGGGCGCGCTCGCCGGGCTCGTCAGGCGCCGCCGACAGGGAGCCATCCAGCCGCGGGTCGGCGCAGTCGGCCGAGAGACACGCCCACGGCGGGCGAGCTTTCCGGCCGCTCGGACCGACGGTGAAGGGCTTCCTCCGCCTCCCACGGCGCGCGCGGATCTCGCCGAAGCTTCTGGCGTGCTTCGCCGCTGGTGGCGAGCGGGCTCTGCGCTGGCCCACCACCCCCAGCCGCCGTCCCTCCCCACCAGGGGCTCGCGTCACTCGGGGCTGATCTGCAACTAATGAGATCGGCATCAGCCGCGCGAGACGGGAGCCCCTGGCGGGAGCATCCCCGACCTCAGCGAGCACATCGGTACGTCGGATGCGGGCACAAGCTCCGCTGATGAATGATGACAAAGGGATGTTCTCCTGTTTGCTTTTATCGCCCTAAAAAGACACTGCTCTCGGTAAGGATACATTTGCGAATCCTCCTCTTTCTACTTTCCCCTTAGAGTTACCCAACGCCATTTTGGTGGATGGCATCAGGGACTCAGTTTTCCTCAAGCTTTAGGCCTGTTCGCTACGCTCATATTTTCCCAAAGCAAACTCATGGGTACGTACCTGGCGGGATGTCTGGTAGATAGAAACACAAAGAGACCGACGGTCGTCGTCAGCCAGGATGACATCATGACTGCCGCGGCTTAGGCTCCTTAACAGCTGTAATGGAATAGCAATGTCTGAAATGTTTCAATGTCTGAAAATATCACAGCGCTCAGCTTAACAGTTCCTGACCAGCGAGCAATGCCTTAAAAACAAACACCAAACCACCTTAAGTCACAAATTCCAAGCGCACAACACTTGGATTCACAGTGTCTTTTTTTCATTTGCCTTTGCTTGCGAATGCATGAGCTCTCAGCAAGAAATTGCACAATAGCCATACCAACCACCGGCACTGTTGCGACCTTCATCGACCTTTCTTTTTCACCGTTTCGTATCGACAAGAAGAGACAAGTCAATGTTAAGCTGGAATTATCGAACCAGCGTTTGCCCTCTCTAGGACACAAGGCAGATCACGATTTTGGATCAATGCCATTTCACGTCCAAAAACAGATCCCTGATGCATTCCCACAAGTCGAAATCCTAAAGCGTCCGGGACGTACTGAGTTGATCAGGCCCTGCTGCTTTTCGCGTTTAAGAAGAGCCAAACCCCAGCACGTCTGGAAAACCTGTAACTTGACTTCATCCAACAGCGAACACCTTTAACTCTGCTGGTAAGCTCGCTCCGACCCCTTTGAGGAGACACGTATAGCGCGCGCCGCTTTCGAAAAAGTCGTGGGCTGTTGAAACTGCGTGGTACTCGGAGTTTAACGCAACGCCTGCACACACGCCTCTGTCCTAGTAAGCACACCACAACCGACACAGCAGTTACACCATTGCAAAAGGCAGAGGCGCGGGATGCGGTGCCGCAGCCACGCTCACCTCACAGCACTCCTCAAGGTACACATCGCTGGAGGCTTGACACCTGGCTGCGACGGACAAGTGGCGGCGCACGCGACCCCGGGGCACAACACAGGACGCCTTAGGCGAGGACGGGGCTTCGCTTCCGTGTCCGCCGGGCAGGGAGCGGGCGTGTACTGTGGCCAGCTCCCTCCGAAGGGCTTCCGCGATCTTATTAGAGGCGAGCGCGGGCGGGACGGGGTCGATGGCGGGCTGGCGTGCTGTTGGGGCCGGACAGTCACAAACACCGCTGCCCTGCCGCACAACATGTCGTTGAAACGGGACGAGCTCCCGATATGCGCGTCCATCGGACCTACAGACCACACCGGGGCTGCGGCCACTCCGGGAGGCGGGATGCACCGGCCGCCGTCAGAACGGATGCCCCTACGAACTCCCCAGATGCGCATTCACCGAAGCTGCAGACCACACCGGGACACAGGCTGGCCACGAGCTGCTGCGCCGGCCGCCGTCAGAAGGGACGCTCCTGAGAGCTCCCGAGGTACGCATCCACCAAAGGTACGGACAACACCGGGAGACGGCCTGGTAGCGGCCTCTGCACCGGCCGCCGTCGGAACGGACGCTCCTGCGAGCTCCAGTGGCGCCACCTTTTACGCATCGCAGACGCGCCGATGGCCGGTCACACAAGAACGAGGAGAAACAGGGAAGGTGAGACTGTGGGCTCTCTTCACAAAAGGCGATCGCAGCAGATTCTTCACTTACAGGTTCGACATACACGTTCGTTTCCCTGCTGCAAGCTGCTACACGTTTGTTGCGGGCGAGAGGGATAATGAAGCCATTCCGCAAAGGCCGAAGCACACGATGCGATATTAAGTTCATTCTCGGCGAGCCCACTGAATACTGGCGTGCGTACGTCTGGCGTACGTACTGACGTACGTACGTTGGTGAGTGTTGGCCTATATGCCGTATGGAGCAGTAGTGAGACCTCATAAGGGCAGGAAATCAGCACACGTTTCGGCCACGAACTCTCTCCAGCGCGACCGCCAGCACTGAAGAGCGCTTATGACCGAAGCGCCCGCTGACCCTCTTGCTCTTACAAGAGCCACAGACCACTGTATACGGCACACAGATCAACAGCCGTCAGTCGACTTCAATGTTGATACACGATGTCGGCGTGAGGCACTCCTAGCTGCAAGAGCGCTTTGACAGCTGTTTAAAGTCACCGGGAGCATTCCAACACTGACGTAACGCCTGCATTCACTTTCACTACAGCCTGTTAACAACTCAGCAAGCGGCCCCGGATAGTTCATCGGCACCTTCTGACCTGGAGACAACGCTGGGCGTTTGTTATCTCTTGGAGGACCGACGAGTTTGTCAACAACGTGCTCCGTTAGGTACTCAAAAGACGCGGAGACCAGCCGCACCGATCAGATAAATATTTAGTAGACGCGTTGACAAACCCCACCAATCAACTTTGTGGTGCATGGCACCGTGTATTATTGCACGCAGGCCCGAAACGACGAAAGCGGTGACTAGCTAACTGCACGAGGATTTCAGCGATCAGAACACCGCAATGCATGGGAATGTGCTCGCGACGCGCACGGCCCTGAGGCGCATCAAATCAGCGGGCAGCTTTACAACAACAAATATATATCCGTCTCAACGCGTTTCTCGCAAGCTAGCTTGAGCATTACATGGTGCCAACTGTGACACATATTTAAGCAGACGCGGCGTTCATCCACTGAGATCAAGGCGTCTCTCCTGCGTGACTAGACGACGAAAGCTGCGCTCCCGCCCGGCGAGCGGCGCGGGCCCGCCGCTCCCGCCGGGGGGCGCTGTGCGCGCGGCTCTGCGCCGGACATGTGACGGGGCCGCCGGCGGTGGACGGACGGACGGACGGTGCTCAGTCGGAGAGGTCGGGACGGAGTCAGCGGCGGACGGACGGAGCGGAGCGGACGGGGCGTGGCCCGCGCCGCGCTACTGCAGCGGCGGGCAGTCCGGGTGCTCGAAGTGGCGCGGCATCACCATCCCGCTGGTCTTCTCCGACTCCTTCTCCAGATACTCGAGCGCGTTGTTCACCCTGGAGTCCGCCACCTGGCCGGAGAGAAGACGAGGTCACCAAACGCGCCGGGCCCGCCACCAGTAGGTCGTATTCAGCTCGCTTGCGCGTGTTGCTTGACACTCACACCACGTTACGCTGCGCAAGGCACGAGACTGTGAGCAAGAATGTCAAGTACTCCTGTCTAACACCAGACGGAGATCGAACCAGTCGTGCGGCGCGCGACCAGTGTTTCAATAAGGGTCTATGACAAGCCGACGCGTTCGAGCTGAAGTCGGCGCTGCCTCTTCGGAACCGCGAAGATTCCAGCTACCGATACCAAAACTGCTTCATTTATAATGCACACTAGAGTTAAAAGACGTTAACAGGCAGAACTAACAAAACCGGAGCGAAGAAGGAATGAATTGTCTCAAGTGAACAAATCGCCCTTTGCTGGTATCCTTATCAGACTAATTCCCATCAAATCCGCACGCACATTTATACCGCAGCCAGACAGAATTGTACTGTGACAAATGTCCACGGTTCTGTAGCCTGACAGGCCCGACGCGAAAGCCAGCGCACGGTTATCCCGGCGAACACGCCAGGCGTGTGAAGCGGGTGTGGTTTTCGCGTTGAGCTATCGCACCGGAGCCCCAAAATTACCCGGCGTTCTCGAGCCATATCACTGCATTGAGGACATCCAATCTGGATATCGGACATGGAGAGTAATGCCATCGAATCGAACTTCCAGATTGGCTGTCCCGTCCCGTTCCGATAGCTGTTGGTTAGAGCGCCGGCCCTCCGATCGACCCACCGAGGCGAGAGCAAGGACAAGGGCTAGGACGAGGACGAGGACGAGGACGAGGACGAGGACGAGGACGAGGGCGAGGGCGGGAGCGGGGGCGGGGGCGGGGGCGGGGGCGGGGGGCGGGAGCGGGAGCGGGAGCGGGAGCGGGAGCGGGAGCGGGAGCGGGAGCGGGAGCGGGAGCGGGGGAGGGGCAGGGGCGGGGGCGGGTGCGGGGGCAGTGGCGGGGAGGGTGGGTTGGGGGCCTGGGTTCGCGTCACTTTAGGTGCTTGATATTTGCACATGACAGGAATGGCCTATAGCCGGTGGCAGCGGCTGCGCTAAAGGTTCGGTGACGTCAGCGGGCAGGACAGACCGTGTCGAGCATTGCAGCACGTAAACTTTCGCCACCAGATCCAATCGCTGGCCTGTAATGCTACGATCGGAGAGTGGGGCTAGGATTCACGCAACAAGCACTACTTAGCGTGTGCTCTGATTCCGGAAACATATCCAATCCAAAGGTTTGAACTGAATCCTTTAAAAAGCTTGTTGGAGGCGAGTGCCAGTCAAAAGTGGATCCGCGATCCAGGTTCTACTGAAGGCAGTGGTTCATCAGGCAAAAACGTGGACACTTGGATAAATAAATCCAGCACTTCGCTTCTGAAAACTGGCGTTCTTAAACTTCGCTTCCAAAAATCAATGGTTCCAAGACGCAGCAACACACATGGAAATGATGAATGATGCAAGAATAGAACCCTCCGCGGCACACTACAGACAGGTTTCGTGTTAGACGCTCTCCTTCAGCTGGTAAATATCTGAAGCCTTCCCAGGGATGAAGGACATACGGCTTTCATTTGACATAGTGCCACACGTCCTGTGCGGGCTTACATCCAACTCGGGGCAACCCGTTGTTCCGGTACAAAACCAGACAATAAAGACACGCGACACAAGGCTGAAAGTCTCGTCATTACTATGCACATGCCTGTCTTACCGAAGCGCTTAGCAGCGATTAATGTCTGTTATAACGCGATCAACGTCACCAGTGCAGTCTGGTACAGGCCGAGCCTGGTTCACCACCCACACACACACTCACATTGCCGTCAGCGTTGGCCAGATACTTGTAGACGCGCTCGAAGGTGGCGTACGGAATGGCGGCGCTTCCACCGGCCGGTTCAGCCGTGATGATCTCGCACACCATGCGCATGGTGCCCGTTAGGTCCTGGAAACACGCCATCGCGCGGACGTCAGCAGGCCGGCCGACTGGCCCACAGGGCTCCCTAAAACATTGCTACATTTGGCACAGTGGGAATCAGTTGCAAGTACCAACGCAGGGGTCATCGTTGGCACCGTCTCTGAAGTCTGGGAGCCGGACGGGCCTCCAGAACCAAGCCAACCACCCAGGGGTGCAGTTTCCTATTCAGTCGGTGGGGGCTCCCATCCCACAACTTGGCTTTAGCCCTCCCCCCCCCCCCAACTTTGAGAAGACGGCGAGCCAAATCCGGGGAAAAACTCTTTTGTTGGCGCATTCTGGGAGCAGGCTGCGCCGTTTTTTACTGCTCAGCCCCTCCCAACTCATTTTACGAATCTACACCCCTGAAACCACCGCACGCCGCCGAACCCCCCCCCCCCCCCGCCCTGCGCCCACTCGACCAAACGAAACATTCACGAGCGGATGTACGGCGCGCAATAGCTGTGCGGCTAGCTGGCTCCCACGTGGGGGCCCGGGTTCAAGCCCCAGTTACGCCATGACCCGTGGCGTTAACATGGCATCTGCAGTCGCTGGCGCTGCACAAAAGGGACTTAAAGGCGAGTACGTCAGTCGCGCTCTCTTCACAAAAAGGCCAGAGGTGCAGACGATCAGTTCCGACCGTTCACGCCTCAGGATCGTCAAGCACAACTCCAGCGGGACAACCCACCTTCTCGAGGGTTCCGGCGGCCAGCGCCAGGAACTGGAGCCAGTCGATCTGCTCGTCGTCGAAGCCGCCGGCCACCAGCAGGTCGTCGAGCGCCTGGCGCAGCAGGCACAGCGACTGCCAGACGTCGCGGATGTCGTCAGGCCGTCACGATCGTGCGGTCCTCGAACTGCGCGAGACAGCGGCCGGTCACGCAGGAGACAGGGGCCGGTCACGCAGGAGACAGGGGCCGGTCACGTGGAGACGGCGGCCAGTCACGCGGGAGACGGCGGCCGGTCACGGGGGAGACAGCGGCCGGTCACGCAGGACACAGGGGCCGGTCACGCAGGAGACAGGGGCCGGTCACGCGAGAGACGGGGAGTCACAGACAGCGGGGTCACGGGGGAGACAGCGCGTGCCGGTTCAGCGGGGAGAGACAGCAGTCGGTTACGCGGGAGACAGCGGCTGGTCACGAGGGAGACAGCGGCTGGTCACGCGGGAGACAGCGGCTGGTCACGCGGGAGAGGCACAGCAGCACATCACGCGGGAGACAGCGGTCGGTCACGCGGGACACAGCGGCGGTCACACATCATCGCGGCGCCACACACTGCTGACGGCTGGGCCCGCACGGCGGTCAGCCGGCATTGTAGGCTCGTGCACTCTCCGAGAGCTATCTAGCTGTCTAACACGCTTCATGATGCATGCAGCACAATAAGTGCTCGCACTCACCGCTTGACTGCTTTTAAGTTTGGCACATGGCGAGTTCAGACCACAACACCTCGGATCCATTTGCTTTTTGACACAAGTTTTTCCTTTCCATTGCGCATATCTTACAAACCTCTGGACTTATCATGTTTCCTAGGGGACAGCAACACAAGATAGAGACAATCTAGTGATGACTTGTTTTGTCTCTAGCTACTGCCTCACGCAAAACACAGCAAGGACAAAATTGCTTAGCCATTGGGGTTGACTTGCTCGACTTTAACTTTTTGGAGTTTACAAATGTTTTGTGGAACCAGAGTTCCTTGGACATTTTGAAAACGGCCTTTTGGAACGTTGTATCTCACTGAAATTCCCACTGGCATTCACCAGCACCCAATCGCGCCCAGTTTTTCTAAATGGTGTAAGGTTAGAGACTTGTAGTATGCAGTACATCTCTCACTCCTATTTCTAAGAATACGTCACGTTAACGCATAATCATATCCAACTTTGAAAGGCTCATTAAGCCCATACACATAAATGTGAGACACAGAGCCGAGGCGAGCCAGCTCGGTGCCAGCACCTGACCTGGCTGTGCAGGGCCTTCAGGTAGCCCATGGTCAGACCGTTCTCCGTGGCCGGAGGCGGCGGGAACTCCAGCCGCTGCTTCATTGGCGGCCGCTCGCCATTGGCAAGCGCCAGGAAGTAGGCGGCCGACCAGCGCACCAGGTCGCGCGGCTGCGTGCGAATGGCAGCCTTCGTATACTGTTTAAGGATGTCGGGGAAGGCCGGTGGCACTTTGATCTGCTGCGAGCAGTACATGGGCTCCGGCAGCGGCGACATCTTGGATTGCCACACAGGTCACTGTGAATATGACACAAACACACATTATATTTCTGGCTACTCCAGCAGCCTGAATGGACATCATAGAGCACCTGAAGTGCAAATGTGTATCTGCTGCATGACTGTACTGTTCAATGTTGTAAAACACCACAGACCCTCATATAACACAAGGGTCTCTCCAATCATTGGTCAAGTTATGTGGCTACAGGGAACTTATCAACATAAAGCTGGCAACATACCTCTAACTCATTCTCATGCATCTTTAATAATACTGTTATGTGCCATTGCTTTTATTTATTTTGCTCATACCATGCTGCTATGATTAATTATAATGAAAACAATGCCTCAGGAATCTAGCAATATAGAAAATGTACATAAAGACATAAAAACCTAAAGACATCTGGCCAACCAAGAGCCACAAGGGCTCATCAAGGTTGGGCTGTCCCAGGTTTCATAAACATCATCAAAACTAAGTTACCACATTACCTGTGTGAATTCAGCTATAAAATATATCTTTAGACCAATAGAACCTGTCCATACAGTTTTCAAATGTTCCTAGAACAGGAGTTTCTTAAGCTTCATTTCACAGCCCACTCCAATGGTTCACTTCTCTTTGACTTAATGACATGTGCCTCTTCATAGTCCCATTCCTACCTTTTGCTAAGTGAAACTGAAACTGGTTTTCTCTGTCATGGCCTAATTCCTAGTGCTCCATGTAAATCTGCCTCACCTATCCCTTTCATAATCTTGAATACATTTATCAGATCCCTTTAAGTCTACAATACTTCAGTGAATACAAATGAAATGCCATAAGCCTGTCCTCACATTCTAACATGCCAATCCTATTTATCATCCTAGAAGCTTTTCACTGGACTTTTTCCAGCCTATCTATGTATTTTTGGAAGCATGGGAATCAAGCCTATATACAGTACTCCAGGTGTGATCTGACATAAGCTACACACAACTTTTTGACAACATTCCTTCTCTTGTCAATGGACATTCCTGTTAATAAGCCCCAGCATCTGAAGTGCTTTGCTTCTAACAGCCCCCTTGATCTGGTTTGATTCCTGGCCTCTCTTTTTATAATTTATGTCCTCACTGACATAACCACCCAAATGCATCACCTTATACTTATCACAATTCAGTGATGTTTGAGAAAAAGAAGTCCCATTCACCAATTCGCTTAAGTCAAGTTGCATTGATTCACCTGATCTGTTCTTTGACACCCCTTCTGATTTGATATCATCAGCAAATCATAGCACCTTTCTGAATTAACTTATCTCAATATTATTCACAAATATTATACAGAGCAACAGGCCTAACACATATTCCTGTAGGACACCCCTACCTACTAGCTCTTAATGATATTTTGTACCATAAAGCACCATTCAAGCAAGCATGGCTGGCTCAACACATTATGTAATTCATACGTGTCCTCTCCATCCAGGTACCACCCATAACAAATTCATTACCTGCTCCGACTTGAAACGATACAGGACAAATATACACAAATGTAGTACACCCAACGGAACCGAGTTCAGCTCACAACCATCCATGATTTCATCACATGAAGAGCTGATATTTCAAGTGACAGCAATATTATACCGGTGTTCAAACAACCAATTAAATTACACATGTACCAAAAAATATTGGCACCTTGCTTCTAACCAAAACTAGGTTCAAAATTCAGCGTAATTCAGCGTGAACGGTATTCAGCAGATACATGCGACAGGTTTACATCATCGATGTTACCCAGGCTTTGACTTCGGCGTTCGGCACAGTGGATGAATTGTTCGAGGATCGGCGCCCAGGCCCTTCCCACCGCTACCTTGCCGCCTGGATGCCTGAAATGCCTGGAATCCAGCTCGATCACAGAATGTTTTAAGTTTCGTCAGAGATGCGCCATTGATAGCATTGCCATGGAATGTTATTAGAGTATGTGTTACTACGTAATGACTTGCTCAAGCTTTAAACCGTTCAAATTCATATCTTCAGCTACATTTTTATAAAATAAATGCTTTTAGATTTTTATACACCTCCATTTAGTTGTGATTGACTATCCGTGCCATCTGAAGGATCAGAAGTATCGTAACATTCTTCACTATCGTAATGCCTCTGGCGCAACTGTGACAAACTCTGTGTATCGCACCACGCAAGCACCACGGTTGCCTCGATTAACACCTTTCTCACACTCCCGAGTGGATACTGGAAGTGACGTGACACTGGTACGTGGTATTACAGTCGCCATCGCCCTTCGTCGTGCCATCAGTCCTGTCGCAACGTAAGCTGTGGATATTTACAAATATGTTGTACGAAATGGATTGCGTGCAGATTGTAGTCTTGACTGAGAGGAAGAACATCCCAAAAAGTGGGAGGGTCAAACCAATACTGTACAAGGTTGGCTATATTCCTCACATTGCCATCTAGGAGTTTGTCAAACACACAACAAAATGGCAAGATTCATAACCAACTGCTCTGCTCATTTCCTACACCTGTGTGAATTTACAAGCACTAATCTTATGGATATGACAAGGCCATGTAGACACAAACCACTTACAAACATACAACTCTCTTAAATGCATGATTCACCAGTCTGAGGCATTCTAAGGCATTACCTCTACATACATATAAAAGAACACCTGAAATGTCCTTTCATTCAAGTTTCAAGGAAACAAGAAACCTTTTTACAATGAAGACCTGTCATGAGAGTGAGGTAGATGGATAAGTACCCTCCCAAAGGCTGTTTGCTCAGCATAGCAGTTGTTTTTTGCATCATTGCCTAATTACCATATTGTTAAGTGTATTTTATTGAATTTGGACTGCCTGACTTTCAAAACTATCTTCATATAACTAGCAAGTTTACCTCCCCTGCCATGCTAGTTGCCTGATATCTGGTATGGTAGTACTGTCTGCTGACAAATTTAATGGTCAGGGTGTATTTTCCTACCTAATGTTACAAAAGAGTATTGTACATCAATCATTGTTTTTAAGGCAGAACATATCATAATTAATCTAAAACAGGTCATCTGTACTCTTACCTTGGAACTTAACTAATTACAATATCGAACATCTGACTGCCACAAACACATAAATATAGTTCTCAAAATGTATGATTAAGGTGGCAACAAACTAGTAAGGCAGCTCGCATGGCTTGGGCCAAAATTGTAGATAACTGATGGGAGAGTTGTCAGCTATCATCTTGCATATACATGTAAAAAGACAATAGGGCCAAGTTTTTGGAAATCCATACCCTTGAAGAAAATCACTGTTTAGCAAAGCTGTCAGCCTCCTAGGGGAGTTAAATAAGCAGAGGTGTCTCATTGTTCACATCATAATTTTATAACTTTGTATTGCTTGAATATTTACTGCCCAGGCACTTGTCAAGCCAGACAGCTTTGATTGGTAAAATTCATCAGATGCTGTTTATTTATGACCTTCACAGCAGAAGTCACAGTATTGCAAAAGGTATATGGTTAAGTAAATATTTCTCACATTAGGTGGCACCTATGTGCCCACATACATTTTGTGGCTTGTTATTTTAGGCCACAGAGTGTACTTACGACTGGTTCCAGAAAAGATGACATCCATCCCTACTCAGCTGATTACGGGTGCTTCTATGGCTGAGAAGGTTGTTGGGATCGCTAGCATATTGAAGCTGACTTGTTCATCTACATTTTGCAGTTAGTGTTAAACATATATTTGCTCCAGCTGCCAAGAGCTGAGACAATACTTAAAAGTAGCCCTAAATGGCCAGGTCAGTGGTTTGCCTGCATGTGAGCATGACCAGATGCACATGCACAGTGACATGATGTCCAGGTCTTGACCCAGATTTTGACCAGTGCTGTGTGATGTCTTTGCAAGCAGAAAGTTTTGTACTCCCCCATGATGGTATTGGCAGGCAGCATCCTGCTTGAGTTGCCATGCTGCACTGAAATGAAGCCAGTTTTGAACAGCTTGTCTTAACATGCTAACAGATTTATGCCGCACAACTTGGCTTATTTAAGACATTTTCCAAACTTTGATACTGGGACTAGAGCTCATGCCAAGCAGCACTTGTGCAAGACCAAACCCCCACTATTGGATCGTGTTATTCCACGTCAGTGGCTGAATTGGAGGGCAAAAATTTAATGTGCCAAAATGCCCTGGCACAGTCTTGCACGACCTGTTGCTAAGCTTCTGAGGAACCACGCGTCTGACTGGGCTGAGCTAGGCCACTCTGTTCGACATTTTTTTCATATTTCCAGTAAAACTTATTCTGCCTGCTGCCCTGTGTTTGCTAGGCAGGAGGCAGAATAAGTTTTAGGCGGGTCAAGACAACTGGCTGGCCATGGCTGTCTTGACCTGGTGCCTGGTCGGGGGTCTTCCCCTCCCTGGCCTGACACAGGGTTTGAGACCCCTCATCCAACAGAAGATGGCAAGTTAACTTCTCCCCTAGGATCTCCAACTTCCAGATGGCTTATGAGAATAACAAAGATACCACTTTGAAGTTATCACCAAATCATGGAGAATGCACTATACATTTTTTGCCTTAGGTCAAATGTGAGGTCGCCAGAAACCATGAAAGGTCAAAAACAGTCATTCTGACAGATGTAGCTAAAACCCACTTTAACGCGTCTTGTCGAGAGCACGGAAATAAGCATAAATACTTTGATGAGTTCATTGTGTACCATTGTTGTTTCCCACATAGGTCAGGTCAGATAAGGTCACAGTTCAAAATCGATCCAGCAGTAACGCGGAAGAACAATACTTCTATGTGTGGTGCGCTAGTGACTAAGTTTATCTCGTTGGGTGTGGCGTTGGGACAAAACATTCCAGACACAATAATGTTATTTTGTGGTAATGTAGAGGTCATCTGAGGTCAACTTAAGTTAAGTTTATAAATAATCCAAGTGAAAGAATTAAGTGCCAACCAGATCTTTGTGAACATAACAATGCTATTTTGTGGTCAGAAATACTGTATTAAGCATCTGCAGGTGCCCAAGATTGCATAGCTGTTGTCTACATTATACACAGTCGCTTGGATGCTTAGCAATGTATTTGTGACGAGTGGAGTACAGGAATGTTGTTACATAACAAACACCATAATGAGGTGGTTATGCCTGTCACACTCATTCATCTAGCCTCTCCGATACTGGCAACATAGCTCACTGACCTTTTGATGACCTCATATGACCCTGCATGACCTATTGTGACCTCAAAATATGTAATGACTATATCAACACGTTTGAAAATGGAATATTCAAATTCTGCTGCCAAAATTACTTAAAAACTGCGAATTTTGAGCTCAGCATGTGTTCTGCAGAAGGTACCCATAGAGATAGATCATAACCTGGTCCAAGGACATGCGCTCTGTGGTCATTTGTTGGTTTTCCATGTGAATTAATGCGCTTTTCCAAACTGCACAAGACAAAACGACACAAACATGCAACGCCAAAACTACACAAGAAAACATGCAAACTTGTATTATTTACAAAAATAGCAGCAATTGAAGTGACTTAAGTTCAATGACCTCGCATTTTCCGAAACAAAATTCTGACAGATGTGAACTGTAGGTACTTTTAAGCTCAATCACTTAACCAAGTTTGAACCAAGGCAAATCACCCTCAAAAAATTATATGTGGCAATTTTTTAGAGTTTGACCTCTTTACCTGACCTAGGTCGCTGATCTTGGTAGATCCAAACTGCAAATTGGCACAAATTATACCAAATTAATAGATGAACAGGTACCAAAAATTGCATGCCTCGCCGAGCGCTCGTTTTTGACCTGTGATCGAAAAACCGTAGGGGAAGTCAACTCCCCCGGCGGGGCGCAGGTTAAGACTTAAGCTTCATAAAAAGAAAACATGTTCTGGTGCGGTGTGGCTCACTGTCCAAACAGGGACAGCCTATCTACGGTGGTGGTCGTATCAGCAGTCACTGAAGGGGCTTGAAGACTATTTTTTAGCTCGGTGGCCAGGCCGGCCGGCCCGGCCGCCAGGAGGCAGGCCATTTGACGCTCGGCCGGCACCGAGCCCGGCCGGCCCAACGGCCAAGTAGCAGGTGTCGTGACGGCCCGTCTGTGCGCCCAGGGCTTCAACAACCATGTCGCTGCACAGCGATGACAACGCCCTGGTGCCGGGCTCCGACTCGTTCTGGGAGCCGGGCAACTACAAACGCACCACCAAGCGCACTGAGGACGGCTACAAACTGTGCGACGACATGATGAAGCTGGTGCTGGAACGGGGCGAGATCGAGAAGGCCTACGCCAAGAGCCTGCGCGCCTGGAGCAAAAAGTGGAATGAACTCATCGAAAAAGGTGACAGCTTGTTGATCTCAGCCGTGATCTGGTGTGCCCCATGATGGAGGCTGAGTCGGGGGAGGAAGTAGTGAATACTGAGCCAGGCGTTTTTGTGTGGAGGTGGTATGACCTTTGCTGACGCCGTCTTTCGTCGTTGGGAACCAGTAAAAGCAGTCATGTGGTGGTGTCGACAATGTACCAACGTATATCAGGTTTTTGTTTTCTGCTATGGAAGTGACCGAGTGTCATTCGTATTCCACACCCTACCCTAACCCTTGCGTTTGCCACGGCAGGTCCTGAGTATGGTACGGCTGAAGCCGCTTGGAAGGCAGCACTGGTCGAGGCAGATCGTAGATGTGACTTGCACCTCAAGGTCAGGGACAACCTGATGAATGAGGTCCATGTCAAGGTCAAGCAGTGGCAGAAGGAAAACTTCCACAAGGTGAGTACACTACGAACGTGCATTGTCGGTCAAAGTCTTAAGTCATAGTTCCATATGGATTTGTATGATTGTATACTGTGATATTCGCTTGTATCATATACTATTACAGTCATTTATTTTGGAGATTCATCCATGCAGTGGCGTCTATGAATCCAGTCAAGCTACATGCTTCCGCTGGGCTTATGCTTTGTCTTCATCGTATTTGTCTGTGTATGTGTGTGTGAGGCGTGGGGGGACGTATCCAGCCTGCGCGTCCAGACCTCAATGTGCGTGTTTTGCGCTGCATCTCACTCGCAGACCACCACACGACCCCTTTAGACCTTCCTGGTCACGGAGCCGGCCGTCGGGGTGCCGCTATGCGTTTAACGCACGCTGCGCTTACCGGGGCGCAGGATGGGAGGGGCATGCTCCGCGGCGTGGGGCTAGTAAAACAAGCCTCCTCGTTGGTAGTAAACAGAAACTATTTTAAGGCATTCATTTAGGGCTGTTCAGACGTTAGCGTGCGTGCTGTTTTTGACCTTGCATGGGTTCAAGTAAAAAGTGCCGCAGACTTGGAAGCGATTCCTTGTTCCAAAATGTGTAGAACAGAGAACAGCCGCACCGTCGGTTTTGCTAAGACCATACCAGCTGAGTCTTGGTGACTAACTTACCGATACCAGACCACATGGAGCAAGATAAGAACAACACACTGGTTGTATGTGGGTTTAGTACCGTTGCGCAGGCCAGCGGATAAACAAGCTGGGCGTCTAACGGGAGTACGTCACCGAACGGCTCAGCAAAGCATGGCGTTCTGAGGGGGGTTTGACCGCAAAGCGGACGACCGTTCATGCGCTTAGCGGAGCAGTCAAGCGACAACAAGCTGGCCGATGGCATGGGACTGCCACTGGTCCCTTCCGTTCCCCACACCCACGATGCTGCCGTGTACTCACGCTGCGCCGCTTTTCAAGCTGCGTCCATCCTTGATGTTGGTTCCCGTACGTACTAACGCCGGCGTGACGTCTGCCTGCTCGTCAACGCCAGCCTGATGCACGTATTGTCGTGCCGCATGTGATTCGGGTGTGCCAGCCGCTCCGGTGGCTCATATGTGCCTGATGGCGAGACCTCAGCGCGCCGTGCCGGCGTTGGCTCGTAGCGTGGCGAGGACGACGACAGATTCTGCACATGTGCTGCACGCATTTCACGCTTCTGATGTGCACCCACACCCTTTACCTGGTCGTGCCACGTGGCTGTCGCCGCGCTGTTGTGGCGGTGCGTTCACGAGCCCCTTCGACGGGCCAACGCTCCTGCAGCGAATGCGAGGGGGGGGGGGGGGCACTCACCGCCCCTTTGACTGGCGTGGGATCGCAGTTAGGGGTCGGATCGTTATCACGCCAGAGGCGATGGATTCGCCGAGCGCTATGTGACCGGATGCCACGACGGTAGCTTGCTTTGGTGTGCGTACCTAGATAGAGGATGCGCTTTACGATCATGGTAATGGCTCTTGGAAACGTTTTGTCGTGTCGCGACTAGAATGAGCGCTCAACTACTATCCGGCTGTCATTTGTGATGATATTCATTAATTGCACGCCTTGGTTCCTTCCGTGATTTTAAGCGATCTCTAAGTTTTGCGGCCTTCGGCCTGACAGACAGACCTACCAGCTGATCAGCATCTCAATAGTTGATGACAGAGGCCAGCCGTTTGCCGTAAAACCATTCGCTTGTCTCCGTTGTCGCCCCATGTGAAAAGCCCTGGGCGAGCCGGTCTGGTCGCCACTCCTCTGCCGATCGTGTGTCTCTGCGGTGCCGCTGTGCTGTCTGTGGTGCCGCTGTGCTGTCTGTAGTGCCGCTGTTCTGTCTGTAGTGTTGCTGTGCTGTCTGATGCCGCTGCGCCATTGGCGGTGTGGGTGCGGCTCCCCGCTGACTGTCACTTACGCAGGTCCGCTCCTCCGCCAGTCTCGCGACTCAGTTGCGCCGCTCCGCCGCCGATGGCGCCTGACTGTCTGTTAGGTCGCCCGCTGTCGGTCCCGTACGTGGGCACTGGGCTGGGGATCTCCAGACGCCGTCCGCGTCTTTTTGTCCGGCCACCGGCCTTACCACGCTGCTGGCTCGGGTGGACCTCGGCCGTGCTGGGCCCGGCGGGCGGGCCGCCATGCCGCGGACAGGGCGGATAGTGGACACTGCGGGGCTGCCGTGACGTGGGATCTCCAGACGCCGTCCGCGTCTTTTGTTTTTGTTCGGCCACCGGCCTTACCACGCTGCTGGCTCGGGTGGACCTCAGCCGTGCTGGACCCGGCGGGCGGGCCGCCACGCCACGGTCAGGGTGGATAGTGGACACTGCGGGGCTGCCGTGACGTGTACCCAGAGGGTCGGTGCCGTGCCGCCGGGTTCCACCATGTGCTCGGGCGCCGCGGCGTGACCGCGATGGCGCCCAAGCCGGCCACGTGAGCCGTGTTCGTTTGGCCCGCACGCACGTGGACGAGCTCCGCACCATCTCGATCTGTCCGACTCGGACTTGCCTGATCTGTCTGGGGCACTGCGTCAAAATCCCCGGAGCCAAAGGTGCCGTAGAGACCAACCAGCCTTCGCTAAAGTTTCAAAAGAGACCGAAATCAACGGAAAATTCAGTCGAGTCGTGAATGGGTGATTCACATGACGAAAATAGTTCAAAACTTAAGCCCAAAAGTTGTCTTTTAAAAGTATCATTTGCCATCCAGAACCTTGCGCTTTGACGCGCTGAGGGGCGTTTAGGTCTACATCCGCCGGTCAGCGATTAGAGCCACCAACCGTAAGCTTGATACGCAGTGCCTGACCGCACCATCGTCACCACTGCCGCCGTGCCGATCCGTTCGTACTGCCTACGCGAATCACCGCTGGCTGGCGATAGCGACCGGTGCATCGCCTCCATGTTCGCTGCGCTGGCAGTGAACATTGATGCCAGACGGGTTATTAACTTTGCTTCAAAGCTGTCTGCTCTCCGCACTCTTCGGAGACGCTAGGCACTGCGCTGTCGCGGAGAACTTTGCTCGGCTGGACCGCCGTTATCGCGTGGACTAAAAGCGATGCCCGTATCAGTTGTGTATTTGTGGAATGAGCCGTGCCCACGCCTCGGAGTCGGTTGGCGTCACTTGCGCTGAGTTGTTTTCCTTTTGACGTAGGCGTTCGTCTTGCGAGCAAATAAGGCTCTGGCTCAATAATCAAAGGACCATGGGAATAGGGTCAGTGGTGATGCATTCGCTTACAATGTGCATGGTGTTAAGCGTGACCAACAATCTTACGTTTGATAATGGAAACTACTGATTTCAGTAGCAAAAATACCAGTTTCAAAGCGTTGTGCTGCACTTTTTCATTGCACTTGTAATGTCTTGAATCAGACGTTGATAAGTGATCGCTCTCCACATTGTCTTTTCTTTTTTGTCGCGTTGCATTGTGGCCAAGCAATGGAACTTGAAAGTCATGTCGGGTTATGGACTGCTTTTGCTATATATACCCTGGTACGCCATTCGTGGACGGCGGGGACGTAGTTTAAGCAAGTCTAGCCCGTCCGAGGTGTCGATTACCGAGTCATAATCACAAGCCGTGCAATGTGACGGAACCACGTGCACTGACAAGGGTTGATTGTGTTACGACCTGCCGGCAAGTCGTTGCATGCGGCGGTGGCCGTGTCTGTCGGTCGTTGGAGGCGCCGCTGCAGCGGGCGGGCCGCCCCGTCAGACCTGTGCCCGGCGGCCCGTTCCAGGCGGGTGCGGCGGCGGTTTCGGCATCCGTGCGGCCCTGCCGGCCCGCCGCGGAGCTCCCCGGTGCACACGTGACTCAGCGGCGCTCCCCTCCCCGGCCCCTGCCCCGTCGTCCGCCCTGAGTCAGCCGGCCCAAGGCGGCTCGTCTTTCACGGCTGATGCCTGCGCTCGCCGCGCCGGGGCGGGCCGGCCCGGCGCGCGGCCTCGGACGGCCTCGCCGCGTCTCGGCCGCCGCAGACTGATCGCTGATCACTGGCCGGGCCGAGCCGGCTGGCGAGGCGCCGACCGGCCGGGCCAGATCAGCGTGCGTCGCGCCCGTCCGGGAGAACAGCCGGCCCCTGTTGAGCGCTGGAGTGATCCTAGTGTTATTGTTTGGCACCGGCTGGTTGGCCGCGGCCGCGCTCCAGGCCTCCTCCGGCTCTCGATCTCTCGCATTCACGCCCGCACTCGCACCCGCTTTCACACGCGCACTCACTCGCACTCACACTCAGTGACTATCACTCCCGCCGCGCCCCTACTCCCTGCCTTCCCCCTCCCTCAAACCTGGTGATGCATTTCTCACGTGCCCTTTCCTCCTCGTCTTTCATGTTTCTTCCAATGTCTCGTCTTCTTCTTGTCTTGCTCGCGTTCCCGGTCCACACAGACTAATCGATATGTGTCGTCGAATAAGCCAGTTACTGTACCCTGAGTCTGGATTGGTCCTCTGTGGTGTGCCCCCGGGCGTCGCGTTCCTAGCGTCAACTGTTGATGCGTACTTGGAAATCTCTGATGCACGCTGAGAGACCTGAATGCCTCGTTTTCTAACATCACTCCATGGCCTAACCAGGAATGCATGCTCGTTGTGGAAGTCGTGAGAATCAAGCCCGGGAGATATTTGCTTTACGGAAGTCAGTCTACCTAATTTTCATATATTTTTATAATCGCTCCGCACGTGTTTTCCACATTCCCCTGGAAAGTTTGGCATCTTAAATGACTGACCCGAAAAACATATAATGCGCGGTCCGGAGGCGAGGATATAGTTTCGCAGCAAACCCTGTGAAACAAGCAGAAACCGCTTCGCTCAAATACCGCGCACGAGCGATGTTGTTTCGCACAAATTACAATTGTTTTGCGGAATTGTTGTCTTATTTTTTTCTGTTCCCTTGTGCATCACAGATCTTTTATCATTTTGTACAAACTTGAACCGCCATCTGAGGCATGCCACAAACTAGTTCTTTGGTTACGTTTAGTACTACTTACTTCGGTACCTGAGCGCATTCTTGAATATTTGGGCGATAATTTCACAGTCCACCAAACCGCAGTCCCATTTCATACATGCTACCATTTTGCACCTTATTTAGTACCAAATACATCACGAACGCGTCTGGAAATATTCCACCGTGTCACGGGACGGTGTCATCTGTTAAGTTCTTAGCGCTGCGTGCGTGATAAGCAATGAAACCAAACCATCGTATGCATTTGTTTTGTGGCGTGGTAGGTGGCTGCCTCGCGCGGGCCTTGGTGATTCGCGCTCACGAGAATTCCTGTGTTGTGTCCGGCAGTCTATGATGCACTTTAAGGAGAAGAAGGATCTCGACGATGCTTTCCGGAAAGCCCAGAAGCCGTGGGCCAAACTACTGGACAAGGTACGTTGTGTTTGGCATCGCTTGGAGTAAGATACTTTTTGGTCCGACCACAGGGTCCCAGCCCAGCTATTGCTTTCTTCACCTCGGCCTGTTGAATGCAATCGCCGCTTTGTAATGTGGAATTTGCGTGTTTGGCCGTCAAATATGACTGATATTAGACCGCGCTTAACTTCACCTCGAAAAAGCGTCGTATGAGTGGCGCCGGTGGCCGCCCATCGTGGTCGCCTCACGCACAGCACCGCTGTTTGTTTGCAACGCACTCCCGTGTGTCGAAAGACACCGAGCTGCTGAACCTGTAAGCATTGCACGTATGCCCTGGTCGTTGTAGGTGAACAAGGCGAAGGCGGACTACCACTCGGCCTGCAAGGCGGAGCGGACGGCACAGAACCAGGAGCGCAACGCCTCCTCCGACGCCAGCCTGTCGGCCGACGCGGTGCGTGGAGAGGCTGCCTCTTGAGGGGCCGCGGTGCGGCTCCGGCGTCTGGCGGCGCACGGACGCGAGCGCCATCAGCCTCTGCGCTCGCTCTGTCATTGCATGCAGACTCCGGTCCAGGCGGAGACCCGTGTGATCTCACGCTCGATGGTGTGATTTGATTTGCGCGCGATGTTCGGCTCTGTCACTGTTTGCCGCGAAGTGGGGAGCCGGCCGAGTAATGAGCGCCACCATCGGGCTGCTCTTGGTGATCCTCGGCTGCCCGCGTCACCGCGTGTGCGCGCATGTCGTGCCGGCCGCTGGTGGCAGCTTGTTGCAGTCCGCGTGCTCGTTGGCTCCGTGCGTAAGCCAGGAGCCGGCATTAACCATTGTCCCTTGGTGCGTCCTGGTCAGGTGAAAAAGCAGGCGGACCGGCTGCAGAAGGCCAAGGAGGAGGTGGCCAAGACCAAGGACCGCTACGAGATAGCGCTGCGTGACATCTCCGAGCAGAACAGCAAGTACATCGAGGACATGACGTACGTCTTCAACAAGTGTCAGGACCGCGAGGCGGAGCGGCTCGTCTTCTTCAAGGACACCATGTTCAGCGTGCACAAGTGTCTCGACATCGCCAACGACGCCACGTGAGTGGGCCGGCTGCCAGATGACAGCAGAGGGTAACCGCGATCTGAGGTGCCACGTGGTTGCGGTCGTGGTCGCGCCACCCTGGTGACGGCCACACTCCATCTGTGGTGGTTGTGAGCACGCGGTTTGCAGCTTTCGTTGTCGGGGCGATTGCGATATTGAGCCAGGTGGAATGACTCAATGTTTCGTTAGTCGTACCTCCTGTACTGCAAACTATGGACGGTGTACCATTCGACACCAGGTTTAAGCGGGAGATCTGTGATGATATCTTTAGATCCCTCTGTATTGTGACAGCCCACGTCGCCAACCACAAGTTCGCGAGCCCGTTAACTCGAATGAATATCATTAAACCTTCAACTGAAGAGACTGATCAATAGCACGCGAAATGCCTGGCAAAGTTAGTGCAGGTTGGCCTCAGGACAGCCGTGAACGCTCTCGTCTGTGGAACGGCTGGCCGACGCATGCGCACACCGCCACCTGCCGCAGCCTGCCGCAGATCTACCGCGAGTTCGAGCACACCGTCGCCAACGCCGACAAGGAGAAGGACCTGCGCTGGTGGAGCAACAACCACGGCGTCAACATGCCGATGAACTGGCCGGCTTTCGAGGTGGGCGGCTCGGCGCGCGCCGAGCGAGCGCTCCCGGCCGCCGCCGCCGCCGCCGCCGGCCACCCCGCTGGCGTTCGCTCGATTGCTGTCGACTGCGCTTGTTAGGTTTACGGCCGTTTGTTTGCCTGTTTGCGGCAGTTTGTACGCTTGTTTGCGGCGCGCCAGCGCCTGACCAGCCAGCATGCGGTCGAGTTGTGCTTGCGCGTGCCGTGCAGTAGACCGTGCCGTCTGGTGGGGCTGTGAGAGCGCATGCGGCTCGTGCCCGTGTGGGCCGTGTTTTCCGTGGTGGCGTGAATGGGGAGCGGACGGGACCCGGCGGGAGCTGCTCGGCGGGAGCGAGGATGTGGGCTGGCAGTCCGCCCGTAGGGTGACGGCGCGGGTGTTGCAGGAGTACGCGGAGGAATTCCGCGATATCAGCGGCCGCAGCAGGAAGCCCCAGACGGGCGACGGCAGCATCACGCTCATCAACCAGCGGCCCGTCAGCGACGACCTACCTGTACGCGCTGTGCACCTCTCACCGCCGCAGTACAGGCCACACGCCGCAGACGTCGGCCCCCGTCAAGTAGCGACCTGCTTCTAGCAGTGACCCGTCATTGCACAACAACCACGGCACCGCTCAATGGTCCTGACCCCAAACCAGCGCGCTGAACCCTGGACCACAAACCAGGTTGAACCGAACACCACAGGGAGCATTAGCACGACAGGGCGACCATGCACCCTGCCGTGACCGAGAACCGAAACTTACGTCACGACACAGTAAAACGGAGAGGGACTGTGTGCGATCGTTTTCCGACCCGGCGCGCCCGGTCTGTCCGGTGTGAAACGCTGATCGACTAATCGGTTATTGCGAGCTGATGAACACGTGCAGCTCAAAGCACAGTCTGTCCGGTCTCGCGATCGACTTCAGCGCTGGATCGCGTCGCAAAAGTAAAAAGCATCGCCCTTTACGCGGAACACATTTTTGTCACCAAACTGGTGCATGCGGGTAAGTGCCGTCCTCATATGTGCATGCTTGTCCCGTTGCAATGTTTGGAAGCAGCTTGGCTGCACTTTTGATCGGCCGGCTATGATTGCTTTCCTTTTGCACCGCGCTAGGCTACCATGGACGTGGCAGCCCCGACCAGGTAAGTTTGCGCTAGTCCAGCGGGCGGGGGAGGGGGGGGGGGGGGCTGCGTTCTGTTCAAGCAGCATTCAGAGCGGCGCGCGGTGTTGTCGAGGCCTAGCGCACCCTCCAATGGTCGGTTCGGTGAGCAGTGCTACTGTCCGTACCACGCCACCGAGCCTGCGGCCAGTAGCAGGGTACTTCTTATCTCCCGTGTGGGCATGACGAGGGCGGGTCGAATGCCCCTCCCCCTCCCCGAGGCGTTACGTGGGTCGTGGCGGGTGAACTCTGACACGTCTGTGATGCGGGGCGGACCTGTGAGACCGCTGCCGGCTGTCGTGGCAGGAATACAACGCGGCGGCCAAGGGCAACGCGAAGAAGCGTGCGGCGGCGCAGCCCGGAGGCGCAGCTTCCGCGGACGGTCGCCAGGCGGCGGATGACGTCACGTCCCGCCGGACCTCGCAGCACAGGTCAGCGGAGATGGCGGCTCATGTAACGTGTCTTGCTCAATTCAGCTTGGCATAGTTCGCATATCATGCAGCGTGACGGTCCTAGCTCGTCTTGGAACCAAAGAAGTCGACCAACGTAGCATGCTTTGTTTTACTCGTCCATGGACTGTGAAGTGTGCACCTCAGCTGTTTGGTGCCTCATCTCCAGGCTCATATTTGCAGAGAACCGATAGCCTCAAGGGTTTGGTGGTGTGGGAAGGGTGAGTGGGGGGGGGGGGGGGGGGGGGGAGGAGACAGGGGATCTGCTCGGTGACGGATGGTCGTCAGCCACGAGCCTCTCAGCTGCCCCGTGCTCCGCCCGTGGTGACACGACCGCCAGGGCGCGGGAATGCTGTGACCGTACCCGTGCCGCCTCGGCAGCGGCCGGCGCCGTGCTGGCCCGTGTGACTGTGTTTTGACCCCCCCCCCCCGCAGTAACGGCCACGGGTACGAGGACGGCGGTCCGGAGGAGTGGGACGAGTACGCCACCGAGCTGGTGGACCATGGCGAGCCGGGCGTGCCCGTGCGCGCCATCTACGACTACGACGGCGTCGAGGCCGACGAGCTGAGCTTCAAGGCCGGTACGGCACGGCCCGGCGGCGGCGCCGCGAGCCCACTCCGGCCCGTGCACTCTAGTGGGATGCAGAAGAATCTAGCGGGGATGGACCGTCTATGATGCTTTTGATTGATTGTGATTTGGCTAAGCTCCGAGTGCATGTTGAGCGTTTGTCCGCACCGTGGCTTGAACGCGAACTTTTGCGTGTCGATTGATGATTGCCAGTCTAAAACAGTGAAATCATTGGATTTGTCTTCTTCGCCGCCCCAATGGCTCAGTCCGAGTTACGGTTCAACCGACGATTATCGTTAAATGTATCGTTTGCGTTCACTTCCAAACCCTCCGTCATGTTTTGTGTCGAGCGTCCCCATGCTCCTGACCCGCCCGCTTGTCGGCGCCGCAGGCGACACGCTGGACAAGCTGGAAGACGAGGACGAGCAGGGCTGGTGCAAGGGACGCAAGGACGGCCGCGTCGGCCTCTACCCGGCTAACTACGTGCAGCCCGTCTAGGGGCTACGCGCTGTCGGGCCGCCGGCCGTCTGGAGCCGTCCCTGGCGTCCGTCAGCTGGACGCCGGCCGAACCAGGCGGCGGAGGTGGGAGCGCTGGGGCGCTACCGCGCTCTTCGGTGATCTGCTGCCGACCGGTGCGCGCGCGGCGCGGCCGGCGGCAGGAGCGGGCGGAACGTGGCCCAGACTCGCGGCGGCCCCCTTGATGTCGGTCTTCCTGACGGTGACTGCGGCGCTGGCAGGCCAGGACGGCTGGACAACCCCATGCGGGCGGGTGCGAGGCTGGGTGCGGGCCTCGCACTGGACGGGCTCGGAGCGGGAGTCGCTGTCGACTGACGCCACGCCTCTCTGGACAGCCGACCGCACCTGGCCGGCGCGGCCAACTGCTCATCTATGCAAATGTACAGCGAAGCCGCCAGGCGCCTCGCAGGACAGTGTCGTTACGTGCAAGCTGCGTGAACCGTGTTTACTAGGTCGTATCCAAAGCGTGGACTGGCGCCGGAGCGCCTCGCTGGCGCCGCGTCACGCCGGGGCGACCTGGCGTGACGTCTGGGCGGATCCGGCACTGGCGCCGGGCCAGGTAGCTTATCGTGTCGTGGCTGCAGAGGGATCCGGCTCCCTGTTATCGCAAGTAACTGCGCAAACGCTGCGGTTTGAGGCGCGGAGGCACAGCTTGTTTGTATGGACGGGAAATGGTTGAGGACGCTCGTGCCGCGCGTTTGCTTCGACTTCCAGCGGAATGATGTGATTGGAACAGACGCGTCAAACTAACGTTACGGAATGAGGTGACGCCTGAACGTGCATTTCAGTTGCCCGGATGGCATCTTGCCTAACCAGTGTCATATCTGTGATCTGCCCTGTTCGCTCACTTGTAATTGGCTTTGGACGTGCGCCCGTACGCCGTTGCCCAGTCATCCCGTTGTTGTGGATGCGGGCTGGGCGTCAGCCGTCGCAGACTGGTTTCGTTGCGGGCCGGCCCGTGTGTCCCGCTCGTGCGTTGCGTGTCCTTTTCAGTGTCCACACGCGGCCGAGCTCGACGCGCGCGGGTGATACTCTGCTTCATCACCGGAGCTGTGCGGGGTGGAGGCCAGAATGCTCGTGGCCACTCAGTGTCAAATGATTGGTGCGAAGTGGACTCCGGACTGGAAAACCGGGAGGGCTTTGCCGCCCGAGATGTGTGGGCTTTTGATGGAGACACACAGCTTACTTGCCGGCTCTATCCAATCTGTGCGTTTTCTGCTGGTTATTCGTCGTGACCACGGGTGAGTGAGGCGGTGAAAGAGCATAATACAATGCGCATAGATCTGCAGTCTGAATTCTGCCGACTATGATTGGAACAGGCCACAACTGGAAAGGCCCTCGCATTGGAATCGTTTCGTGCATCGGTGGGTGCGAGCTGCCGTCGGTGCGATGGTGGGCAGCTGCCCACAATCATCCATCATCAACTAAAATTATCTGGGCGAGCTGAGAGTCGGTCTATTTCGGCCGGCGTTTGCGGCGGAAGGTGCCGAGCGAAAGCGCCCGCCCCGCGCCACTCGATCGATGACAGCCTGCTTGGAATCCTCGGATCTTGACGGTGCGCGAGCCAGTCTTCGCCAACCCGGTGCGAGGTTTGCCGAACGAAAACAGCAGCCTCAAGACTCAACCAGTACTAGATCGACATCGATAAGCGCTGCGCCGCCGATCGGTGTCAACAATCGAGGCCATCACTGAGGACCGACCGAGCTGCCCTCCAGGCACAGCGATCGAGCATAACAGCCAGCTAGGTTCAAACAGCTGGCAAACACACGAGGCTTACCCCGCGAGACGCGACGCAACCCTACGGCAGGTCCGGTCATGCTGGCGTCTCCCGGACTCGCGGCGCGCTCGCACGCGAGCCCTCCGCCACAGGAAGCTCGTCCAAACGCGAGCGCACCAAGCGCACAGGTGGCAGCGCCGTCGCGCGACAGTCGCACGTGGTGCAGCCGACGAAGTCGAACGAACCGAGCTTGGCGCTGCAGCCGTCAGCCGGGCAGGTGAGACGACCGCGCGTCCAGCCGCCCTGCTCCAGCTGGCCGCGCAGCCAGCCCGGCAGCTGCTGCTCGGCCAGCCCGCGCAGCTCCTGCGCACCGCGGCAGCAGGAGGGCGCCACCAGTGCGCCCGTCTCGGCAGAGGTGAACAGCACGCGCCGACATGCCCGGCATCGGAACAGCACCTCGCGCTCCATAGCCACTGTCAACCAGCGTGGAAATGTAATACTATATGTTCTGTTTGAGACATGTTCAGCTTTATAGACTACATGCAGTGCAACTCCTTGGTGAAACAATTACAATGACCTTGAAAGCCAAGCCTGTTGCTAGACTGCATGACTTGAATGCTGACATGTCCAAACACCAACAGATAGCTTATAAATTATGGCTTCATTTAGAATAGCTTAATCAAAATTTGCAGAGATTTTGTAAACTCACAAAGCCATCCAAAGACAAATAAAAAACATTCTGAGACAGACAATGAGACAAAACAGCACACTGACACAAGGCAAGACAGATAAGAAAAAGACATTTAGCTGTTCAAGGACAACAAGGCTATGCACTACTTTTAGGAAATAGGATGATTAATATCATTCAGTGCAGCTCGAAGAAATGCATTTATGACATAGATTTAAAGAAATAGACAAAATATATGCTCACAAGCTGTCACTTTATTTTCAACCATATGGGCAGCCCTAACTTCATGAAACCCAAAATGCTTAGAATGAAGCAGGGAATCACTTCAATAATTTACCTCAAGATGATTACACCTTTAGCTGGGCACAAAATGAGCCTAGCCATCAGTGCATCCCTAGCCCCAATCTACTACTCACATAAGACAGCACTGTAAGCCTTATCCCTTGTAGAAGAAGGAAAAAGGACAACAAAGGCATTCATATTTTCACTGCATGCCTGTTTCCAAAACAAATTTCAGTAGCAAATTTTGAACTGCCTGCACTTGCCAGCCCCACACAATTATTGTTTTTTTCTAACAGCAAACCATAGTTTTTACAAATCACCATCATTCCTAAGATTAAATGATGAGCAATTACCAGCTACTGAAATCACTTGCAGGTACAAATGATGTAATGTGTGATGCCTGTTTGCTTGAAGTTGTCCATCCACACTTTTTCAATCCTTAGTTGAATATGTCCAGGGTCCAGCTGGCAACTGCTCCTTGTGTAATCCCCTTAATGTTGGTGACTTATTACTGGGGGGCTCACTGCTAAACAACGAAAATTGTGTGCAATTAACAGGCAATATCACATGTACTGCAGTGATTGGTTTTGATAAAGGTAGGTCGCCTAAATATCAATACATCTATCTCCCCTTTTTCCTAGTTATTCTACAAATAATATTGCTAAGGAACTGTATCCTGTATGTGTATCATATGCCTCGCAAATGCACTTAACAGCTTACCCAATCTACTTCCGAATTACTATGGGGTATCCACCTGCACCAAGCCCATAGAACAGGACCTACACTAACCTTATCTTTTTGCCTGTGGACAACACGCGGCCTAACACTTCATACCAATGTTGTTGTTGTTGTTGTTGGTTAAGGGCGCATAGCCTCTTGGGCTCAGGCGTCCATCGTTGAAGTGTTGTCTTGCAAGTTTGGTAGCACAGGTGGTAACTAAGCGCGACAGAGGATAGAAGGAATGTGTCGCGCTGGTCAGGAATTTTCGTGCAGGATAGTGGTGTAGCAAGGAGGTGCAGTAAACGGTGTTAGTTTCTAGAAAACTCGGTGTTAAATGTTCAGATACATAAACTGATTAGTGAACTAAAACAAGAGAACAAAAAGTCCGGTTTTTTTTTTGCCAGGCTCTTTTTTATCATTTTCTTTTAACCGCAGCTTCCCCACATGATAGACGTTGCAGGTTAGTCATCAGTCAGTCGGCAGTCACAACATTGTCGTTTAACAAAGCATTTACCAGATGGAAATTTCACATATCTGCCATGCCGTGTACTCTAACGCATGCACGCACATTCATCTGTCTTCACCATGCTCGTTCAAACCTCATTCATGTTATCTCCTCTGCTTACGCACACACCCACGTATCACACATATACACATATTTGCTACACATAATTCCTATACCACTTCCTTGCTTATCACATTTCTCAAGCATCCAGTCAGACATCGTACGCAGATATGCACGCAAGCTTAAATTATACATAGAATAAACAACTCATTTCAAACAATTACAATATAGTATAAACAGCATGGCAGCAATCAATGACAGCAAAGCAAAAATTGCACTTGTCCCGCACGCAAAGGCAGCACTTCACAATTGTTTCAGTAGGTCGCAGTGTCGCAAATATTTCATCACTCCATCAATGATGTCCGGGAATTGATTTCCTACCAGCGACCTCACACAAAATTGTGTTCCGGACCGTTGACATAGTGTTACCAATGATCGTCTTTCGTGAAAATATACGGGACATTCAAGAAGAATGTGATACACTGTTAATGGACACTGACATCGTTCACATTCAGGTTGGAGGTTTCTATCTATCATGTATGCGTGGGTATAGCGAGTATGCCCAAGTCTCAGCCGGCACAGCACTATCTCTTCGCGTCGGACTGCTCGCTTACAGGAGACCCAGTCTCCTACCTCTTCTTTGATGCGTTTTAAATTAGTCCTAGGGTTGTAATCTGTCCAATATTTGTTGAATAATTCACGAATACTTCGACGCACTTTAGGAAAATAATCTTTAGGACCCATTTGAAAATTACACACGTCATTCAATCTTATAGCCATCTTTGCTTGTGCATCCGCTGTCTCGTTTCCACGTATATTACTATGGCTTGGGATCCAGAGGACAATGATTATACTGCCCATTTCAATAAGCTGACTGACCGTCTCTAGTAAATGGATCACGATCGGGTTTTCAGAAGTCGGATTTCCCAGGGCTGTTATAATGGACAAGGAGTCTGTGCATATAACACATTTGAGGATGCGATTTGTATGTGTATAATTCAGAGCCTGTAATACTGCGAATCCTTCAGCTATAAATATCGAACAAAGTTCAGGAAGTTTAAATTTTTGACGTCTTTCACCGTGGACAAAAGCACATCCAACTCCGTCTGCACTTTTTGCTCCATCGGTAAATATGAACTCGTATTCTGTATACCTGCTTCTCAAATCATTAAACTCACATTGAATTTGCACTTCATCTAGCGTTCTCTTGCTCCTGTTAGTCAACTTTATCAACGTACATTTACGTAATCTCCATGGCGGAACGACGCTGCGTTTTAAGGTCACCTCTTCTGGGAAATCGAATCCTGTTTCATGGCACATATCAAGTATTCTCTCATATAGCGGGAAACCAGAAATCCTTTTCATATATCCAGTCTCTACCTCATGTAACGCAGCCTCATTGGCCATAAGTTTTCTGCATGGATGATCCTCTCGACTTAGTATCTTCAGGGAATAACGGAGAGACAAGTCGCATCTCCTCAGTCTCAAGGGAAGTATGTCTGCTTCAACCATCAATGGTAAAATGGGCGAAGTTCTAAAGGCTCCAGTAGCAATTCTAATGCATTCATTTTGAATAACATCAATCATTTCCACTGCCTTGTTACGGGGACCATCAAAAACTTGGCATGCGTACTCTAATATCGGTCTTATCATGGCTTTGTATATTCTCAATAGTGTAGAACGATCTGCGCCACAGCCTTTTCCAGATAAACATTTTAATATTGATATCCTTTTGACAGCTTTTGTTTTAATGTACTGCATCATCGTGTTTAAGTTCAGCCTAGAGTCCAGCATCACTCCCAAAAACTTGACGGTGTCGGTGTATGTTAACGGCTGGTTATATATATGTAAGTTAGGTATGTTCGTCATCTCTCTTGCCTTCATATACCTTCGAAATACAATTGCGTTGCATTTGTGAGGTGAGAAAAGGAAACCCCACCGATCAGCCCATGCACTCACATGGTTCAACGCCCCCTGCATTTTATTAACTAGATGAAAAATTCTCCTTCCCTGCACCCATAGAGAGCAATCGTCAGCGTACAGCGCTCGGGACACTTCACTCGGGACATTTCCACACACGTCATCAATCATGATGTTAAACAATATCGGGGATATAACTCCTCCTTGGACTAAGCCGTTTTCCTGTTCGAACGTATCCGATAATGTTCCATTGCGCACCTGGAAGGTTCTGTTATCAAGGTACGATCTAACGAAATACATAAGGCGTCCTCTAAAACCCATATTAAACATTTTTGTGAGCAAAGCAACTTTAGACGTGAGATTATATGCATTTTTAAGGTCCAAAAAACAGCCAAG